ATACTAACAGTTCTTCTTAATGTTCAATATAACCAATCTTTCTCACTACATATACTCAGTATTCTACACTACATATACTCAGTATTCTAACTTACATATACTCAGTATTCTAACTTACATATACTCAGTATTCTAACCTACATATACTCAGTATTCTAACTTACATATACTCAGTATTCTAACCTACATATACTCAGTATTCTAACTTACATATACTCAGTATTCTGACCTACATATACTCAGTATTCTAACTTACATATACTCAGTATTCTAACCTACATATACTCAGTATTCTACACTACATATACTCAGTATTCTACACTACATATACTCAGTATTCTACACTACATATACTCAGTATTCTACACTACATATACTCAGTATTCTACACTACATATACTCAGTATTCTAACCTACATATACTCAGTATTCTAACCTACATATACTCAGTATTCTACACTACATATACTCAGTATTCTACACTACATATACTCAGTATTCTACACTACATATACTCAGTATTCTAACCTACATATACTCAGTATTCTAACCTACATATACTCAGTATTCTACACTACATATACTCAGTATTCTAACCTACATATACTCAGTATTCTAACCTACATATACTCAGTATTCTAACCTACATATACTCAGTATTCTACACTACATATACTCAGTATTCTAACCTACATATACTCAGTATTCTAACCTACATATACTCAGTATTCTACACTACATATACTCAGTATTCTAACCTACATATACTCAGTATTCTAACCTACATATACTCAGTATTCTACACTACATATACTCAGTATTCTAACCTACATATACTCAGTATTCTACACTACATATACTCAGTATTCTAACCTACATATACTCAGTATTCTAACCTACATATACTCAGTATTCTAACCTACATATACTCAGTATTCTAACCTACATATACTCAGTATTCTACACTACATATACTCAGTATTCTACACTACAATACTCATATTCTAACCTACATATACTCAGTTTCTACACTACATATACTCAGTATTCTACACTACATATACTCAGTATTCTAACCTACATATACTCAGTATTCTAACCTACATATACTCAGTATTCTACACTACATATACTCAGTATTCTAACCTACATATACTCAGTATTCTACACTACATATACTCAGTATTCTAACCTAAAATATACTCAGTATTCTAACCTACATATACTCAGTATTCTACACTACATATACTCAGTATTCTAACCTACATATACTCAGTATTCTACACTACATATACTCAGTATTCTACACTACATATACTCAGTATTCTACACTACATATACTCAGTATTCTACACTACATATACTCAGTATTCTAACCTACATATACTCAGTATTCAACCTACATATACTCAGTATTCTACACTACATATACTCATATTCTACACTACATATACTCAGTATTCTAACCTAAAATATACTCAGTATTCTAACCTACATATACTCAGTATTCTACACTACATATACTCAGTATTCTAACCTACATATACTCAGTATTCTACACTACATATACTCAGTATTCTAACCTACATATACTCAGTATTCTACACTACATATACTCAGTATTCTACACTACATATACTCAGTATTCTAACCTACATATACTCAGTATTCTACACTACATATACTCAGTATTCTACACTACATATACTCAGTATTCTACACTACATATACTCAGTATTCTAACCTACATATACTCAGTATTCTAACCTACATATACTCAGTATTCTAACCTACATATACTCAGTATTCTACACTACATATACTCAGTATTCTAACCTACATATACTCAGTATTCTAACCTACATATACTCAGTATTCTACACTACATATACTCAGTATTCTAACCTACATATACTCAGTATTCTACACTACATATACTCAGTATTCTACACTACATATACTCAGTATTCTACACTACATATTCTCAGTATTCTAACCTACATATACTCAGTATTCTAACCTACATATACTCAGTATTCTACACTATATATAATCAATATTCTATACCGCATACAATTATAACTGCCATACTCTGATAACTTGGCCCAGAATATCCCTACAGTTCCTCAGCAGGACTTCAGTTCGTGATGCACTAAATCCGTAGGAGATGTCATACAACACTTGAGAATGGGAGGCAATTTGGTTCGATCCAAGGAGGGAAGAGGCCTAATTCCTTTGATCAATAGTCCCTCGACAGCATCCTGGCACCTCCCTTGAGGGGTTCTAACATTCTAATTAAAACATATTTTTGTAACTTAAAAAAAAAAAAAAAAAATAGAATGAAAAGTGTCATCCACTGACACCGCAAATCTCTAAGCGGACATTAACCAAGTCTTTAAATGGGTCTTAGAAAACAATATGAAGTTCAATGAGGATAAATTTCAATTACTCCGCTATGGAAAGCTTGAGGAAATGAAAACTGGATCGGAGTATAAAACAAATTCCAACTTCACAATAGAGCGAAAAACTAATGTGAAGGACCTGGGAGTGATAATGTCAGAGAATCTCACTTTCAAAGGTTAAGTAAGGTTTGTCAGGAAACAGAACAAGTGTTTCCTGACGCAGGTCTTAGTCAGATGATGACCCGCCGTCGGAGCTCTTGGTCATCTGACTGAGGCCTTCAGCTGGCTTACCGGTCCACTCCCTTAAAAATTATGGTCATAATTATAACCATTCAAAGATCACAACAATGTCTCTACCACATCTACTCATCTACTAGGAATATGGTAGGGTGGATAAGAACCTTCAAAACTAGGGATGCCAAGCCAATGATAATTCTTTTCAAATCGCTTGTTCTCTCTAGGCTGGAGTACTGCTGTAAACAGCCCCTTACAAGGCAGGCGAAATTGCATACCTGGAGAATATGCAGAGAACTTTCACTGGACGTATAAGTGCAATAAAGTACCTCAGATGCTGGAAACGGTTGAAATCTGTTGGCCTGTACTCCTCAGTCTGTCCTAGACAGACTAGTCCCAAATCTGCACACAGAAATCACTCCCTACGAGAGCAAAAGACTCGGCGGGCGGTGTAGCATCCCCACCAGTGAAAAGCAGGAGTTGTCATGGGTACATTAAGAGACAACACAATAAGTGCCAATAGACCCCTGACTTCCAGATGGAGCTGGACAGGCACTTAAAGTCAGTACCTGACCAGCCTGACTGTGGTTCGTACGTCTGTTTGCGTGCAGCCAGCAGTAACAGCCTGATTGATCAGGCCCTGATCCATCGCAAGATCTAGTCATGGACCGGGCCGCGGGGGCTTTGACCTCGGAACACCCTCTAGGCACACACACACACACACATATATATATATATATATATATATATATATATATATATATATATATATATATATATAATATATATATAAATAATATATTACTCCACATGGAGACAAACACAGAAGATTAATTAGTCTATATCTTGATCCCCTTCTGGGATCCTCTTCAATGTACATACACTGAGACATACATCTAAATATCTGCCCGTGCTTTATAAACCTAATAAAACACACATTACACAGTTTCACAACTAGGCAAGATAGAACGCAATAGAAACTTCTTATACTTCTCGCTCATAAAGAAAACTGTCAGTATTTCTGACCTGTGAAGACTAAGGAGACTTTCCCAGACGTCTCCCCCCGTAAGTAGACTTGTAAGTCTCGCCAGTAAGGTGACTGCCCACATGTCTCGCTCGTCAAGACTTACCCATACCTCAGGTCCTGCCCAGAGTATAACTCACGATAGTTGACAACACCCAGATGCATGTCAGGCTGACAGATTTCATCCTACCTGATGAAATATAATTGGGAAACATAGCTAGGCTTTGTTCTCACCGTGTAATTATCATATAAAATAGGGAGTCATCACGCTGCTGACGTATCCAATTTTGCTAATTATAACAAATTATCTCGTCACTGTTTCATCGCTAATTTGTTAGAATACACCCTATTTTTTTATATTAACACATCGGCCGTCTCCCACCGAGGCAGGGTGACCCGAAAAAGAAATGCTTCCATCATCATTCACGCCATCACTGTCTTGCCAGAGGCGTTCTAACACTACAGTTCAGACACTGTAACATACATCCAGACCTTCAGAGCGTAGACACTGTACTATCTACCTCCAGGACTCAAGTCCGGCTAACCAGAACAATAAAATAATTGTTTTTACTCGTGTTAAATATTCCGATGCTTTTATAAAATGTTATTCTGAAGTTCTACATTTGTATTTACATCAATATTATTATTATTATTGGCATCCATCGGTGATTATTAATTTAACTTAGCATAGCCTGGTTGATCAGGCCCTGATCCACCGTGAGGCCTGGTCTCAGACCGGGCCGTGGGGGCGTTGACCCCCGAAACCCTCTCCAGTTAAACTCCAGATCTCCAGTAAACACAACGAAGCCAAATTGTTGATTTCCATCGTTATTTGCGGCTTTCATGATTTAACATTCATAGACTCGTTACTGTTAACCAAGAGTCTTCACTGGGTTTTAAGGACAGAATCCGGAGTATTACCGGGCACTGGGAATGCCCAGTGCTGCCCGAGAATGCCGTGACGTCAGTGAGACATCTGGCGACGTCATCAGGAAGGATACCAAAGTGCACGTCAGGAGAGTCCTGATTCATTACCAAGTCTCCATTACAGTCCTAGGATCCTCTGATATACATCTGTCATACTACGACTACACTTAAATAATCTTGTTTTAATATTCAGAGCCTAATAGGCTGAAGTTACTGTTAGGAAAATAGTTTAGGCAGTAGCAAGGAAAGTGAAAACAAAAGTCTTCCTGAATGGACTGAAGGTAAAGATTCTTATAATGTTTCGAGTGGTCGCCTGAAGGGACGTTTCTCCTCCTCCCAGGCGCTGTGTATAAGTCTTTACCATTGGCTGTTGTGAATGTAACCTCAGTTTGGATTGGACGTCCCTTGGGAGAAGACTCTTACACATTATCAGCCACCTCCAGTGCCTACATTTAGACGTATTGTTTTAAATGTGATTTGCCTGAAAGTGAATACTGATTCACTGTTAAAAATGGCTGAAATATATACTAATAACTAAGAATACTCAGAAAACAAGAGCCAAATAGTTATTAAGCAACAATTAATCTCATAAAAAAGCTTACTTAGCATTTTTGTGTGATGGGAGGGGTGGCAAGACTAGACTAGAGGCGGATCTGGACTATGAAGAACCTTGACGAGTGACTACAAGTGTCTCCTGCTAGTCTCAGCTGGTCTCTAGTGTTAGTGTGTGCTATGATGAACTAGTGCAACTGGAATGTGTTAATTGAAGGGAAATATAGTCAGGTGGAGCTGCATATAATGTGGGTAACATGGTGGAGGTTAGGAGGTGGTCGAGTGACATAGGTGTTGTGGATAAGTATCGCGGAAGTGTGTGGTCTACCAGACCTTACCAAGGCTGCCACAACCTCCCCACAGTTTCCAAAATAAGAAACTTACCTCTAAATAGTGACAAATGAAAATAATGAAGCTAGTGTTGGTGCTTTTATATGATAAACTCCCGTGTGTGTTGAAGAGGCGTCAGTCACCACCATGAAGTCATCTCATCTCTGGATTGCTATACACTTTCTTTTTGTCGTTGATG